GAGAGAGAGAGAGAGAGAGAGAGAGAGAGAGAGAGAGAGAGAGACGCACCTTTTTTGAAAAGATCACCGTCATTATAAAAACTACCCGTGTAGACACCAGTGGCCCTCTCAATGAGGTAACGAACCCACGTATTGCCGGAACCAGGGAAGCTAGCTAGAGCCACCAGAGGCAGGGAACCAGGCGGTGTTAATGTTGCATTACTGCAGCGGGTGTCTGGGGGGAAGAAAGAGATGAATCATGTACAATGACCAGTAGCGCCTATTGGTTATTGGACCAGTTTTGCACTGTTATTGTTCCAATGGGGCAGCGTGCAGTCACACTTGCGAGCCGGATAGTCTGAGTGGTCAAGTCGACATGACGTCAGCCAACTTCAAACACCGGATACAAACCGGAAGGCTTACCTTCCGCAGCAGTCTGGTATACGGACAAGGTGGAATCGCCGCCGCAGTAATAGCTCTCGTCGCCCGCGCACGGCACGTTGCACTCATGGTGCGGAAGAATATTCTCCATGCGGAAATCGCGGGTGAAGTGGCCGCAGTGACACTCCGTGCCAGCTCCCAACGCCGCCACGGGAAAAAGCTTCAACAGTGAAAGAAGAATGATGTTAAAGATTAATTGACCGCTGAAAAGCAGAGGCTAGACGTGTTTGACGGCGTAGGGCGAGTTCGGTTCGGCCACTGGACAATACAGGCAATTCACAATAGTGCGCCTCCAAGAGTTTGCAACACGTTGGCCAATCACAACGCGCGAAATCTGTCGACCTTTTCCAAACACGCCTTGGGTCTGAGATTGCGAATCCCCCGCATTAATTCTGACCAACGGGTGCCGCACCGTGCACTCCCACTCGGACTATAAAGGGCAAGTTAGAGCGATGACTACAGTTAATTTAACTATAGTTCGACTAACACCGCCCGAACGATGGATGGTTTGACCTATCTAGTATTAGAACCAGGCCCAGGGGTATGGTCGCACCGCTGGTTATCATTACAGAGGGAACCAGCTACACGATAATAACTGAACGAGATTTCAATGACCATGTACGCTGCGAGAATCGCAGCCACCTGTGAAATGTAATGATAAGATTTTTAAAAATTGACCGACCTGGGCCGTTCGAGTATAACATAATTGCACATGCGTATTATTGGTTGCTTCTCTCCCTGCGTTCAATGTCTCTGTCACTTTGCTATTAATTTTAAGCCATTGGTTCCCTCTGGTTCCCAAAATACAGTATATCAGGCTCCTCCAGACGCTGTACTCTAACACCAAGTGCAGAGTCGGGTCTGGGGGAGCTCTGATCAGACCCGATTTCCACCACCTCCGATGTGCGACGGGGATGTGGGGCCGCCCCAAACCTGTTTAATGTTGGTGTGGATTACTGGCTTAGCAAGTCTGTGGAACCGTGCCCAAACCTTGGTGTCAACTACCATGTCCAAGTGACTGACTTGCGCTGTGCTGATGACGTGGTAATCTTTGCAGAGCTCTTAGATACTATCGCTGAGGCCCTCAGTGAGCTCTCCGTGGAAGCTTCACCACTCGGCCTCACCATTAAAGGGCAAAAACGAAGAGCCAGTCACTCCCGGATTCTTCCCCACCTCCATTCCCATCGGCACTCAGGATGTTGAAGCAGTCATGGAGTTCGTGTACCTGGGCTCCAAGCTTTCTTCTAACTGCTCCGCAGAGGCAGAAATTCTACGGGGTCTCCACAGCTGTCTAGAGGGGCATTTGGGGGATGTCTCCAATCTGGCACAGCGCCAAGTTTAAAACCAAGACCAAGCTACACCTCCTGGACTCCACCGTTCTCTCAGTCCTACTGTACTGCAGTGAGACCTGAACACTGGCAGCTGCCTTCACCAGGAAGGTCGACGCCTTTCACAGGACGTGTCTCCGCACCATCCTAGGGATTCACTAGAATGACTTCATCACCAACGAGCAAGTTTATAGACGAGCCGGTAACCCCCTCCCCTCCTGTGAGCACTACCATCCAGAGGAGGCAAACAGCTTCTTGGCCACGTCGCCCGGCTCCTAGAGGGAGTCACAGCTCGGCAGATCCTGCTATAGCCGCCAGCAGGCCTCCACTACCCGACTGGCGCCGTTCCCGTGGACGCCCCCGACCTACCTAGGTGCAGCAGGTCGACCAGGTCTGGTTCCAAACCGACAAACCTATAGAGAGTTGCTCGCCACGGTCACCTACACTGGCCATGCGATGCCAAGTCAAGTCAAGGTTCCCTCTGTATGAACTTTATTAATAAAAGGGCTATTGATAACCAGCGATTCAACCGTCAACGAGATGGTCCAAACCATCCATCGTTCGGGTGACCTTAGTCGAACTATAGTTACCTATGGTCGTCGCTCGATATTTCCCATATTAATCTTTGGGTCTTTGGTGTGGTAACGAGTAAGCATGGGCAGACAAAGCTTTTAAGTTTGTGAATAACAAAAATCTCAAACCCTTCATATCATTGCACGACTTAATTATTTCTATCAGTATCTGCAAAAACATGACACTTCTGAATAAAAATTTACTAGTAGTGAATGAAAAAATGCTAACCCCGTTAAACCATTCGTGCAATCGAATCATTCAATCAAATGGGTTGTTGCACAATTACTCGTTGCAAAATGTGAACTGTTTTGAGCAATAACTATGTCAACGTATACTGGTCCGTTTCTTGTGAATAGTCAGCTAAATATGAATTCTTTTCCTTTATAGACAGAATAATACCATCTTCACTTGTGTTTATTTTTCTTTACCCGCAGGTATAGGGAGAAGGTGACCATCCAACAATGTTAATTCAGAAAATGAGGTTAAACCGACCTCCGAGTTCAAACTATTTACTTTTATCCCTTATCAGCCGCAACATGCTGCAAAGATGTTGAAAATATACACAGCCAGACTTAGGGCTGTGATCTATGGGGACTCTCTACTTAATAATATTGTACTCCGACGCCCCAGAAATACTGTGTTTTGATTCGCCACACGGCAAACTGCCGGAGGAATTTTCATAAACCGATTAGACGCCACCGCTACACCAGGAGGGAGGTTAACAGAAGGGGGAAAACCTTTCCAATCTCTTCCATAAGGAAACTAACTATCTTCTGCCTTATCTAATCCATCCCTATGGTCACCAGAGATTACTTTAAATCGCCTTTTTACAAAGAAAATCAGTTCATTCGATGCAAGGAAAGTGCACGTGTGGAGGTATTTGTCTCCACAACAGACGTTAACAGACGATGGTTGTGATGCTCAATTCCGCCGGCCTCCATCAATATTTCGAGTTGCGGGATGACAATCGCTGGGCGCGAGGGAACTGGACAGATGTTTACTCAGTCATTGGAACGAGACAGTAACGAGGGAAAGCGACGATAATTGCTTTCACTATCTTGGAGTGGTTACAATCCCGTAGCGGGCAGTGCTTTGTCCCCTGACTGGCCGGGGCGAGGCAGTGGTGAAAAGGGGAGAGTTGCTGTGTAATAGTGCTGCAAATATGCGCATGCTGCTTGTGCCTGCTGCATGCATGCGCTGTTTGTCCAGTGGTTGTTGAGGTCTGGAGGTTGGATTACTGCTGCTGGTCACCTTGATCATGGCCTGCGTCTTGTTGTTACGCACCTGCTCCTGCTGTTGCCCCGTTTGTTACCGTTTCTTCAGCAATAGGTGTTGAGTTTTTGTTCCTTTGCCGCTGCTGCAAAACTTGGAATCAAACTCCTGCGGGGTCTTTCTGCTGTTGATGCGCTGCTGCAGTTTTTGGTTTGCTTTTTGATTAGCCGGGTTATTTTCTCATTTAAAGCAAGACATGGGACGGAGAGCACCCCTACCTTTATGTTGGTCATTGTTTGATCGGAATCTTGGGCATCTGAGGGAGGGACGTGTTAGGTAACAAAAGTCTAGAGTGTGTATAGCGATTAGACATGCAGTGGGTACCCCTCCGTCCCATATCTTATGGTACTTTTTTTCTGCTGCCGTTCAACATGCATTCGTGTAGAAAGAAGTTTACAATTAAGTAAAGGAGTACAGGATAATGACCGGCTGTGCATTCGTATAGAAAGAAGTTTACAATTAAGTAAAGGAGTACAGGATAATGACCGGCTGTGCATTCCTTTACATGATATTACGGAAATCAGAATATAAACAACAGCAGCATTTTTCCGCACACACGAGGAGCCAGATTGCTGTCTCAAACTATCAGCGGAAGGGTTCTCCGCATACGCCCGCCCATGCGTGAGTTTGCAAAGTGTGCTTATAAAATAATAAAAAAACCGACTGGAACACTGTTTGGATACGAAAAGTAGGCCTACTGGAAGACACTCTTAGGGAAAGGCGGCTTAGCAGGCCACATAAGCAGCGTTTTAAAAAGCTACCATATGCTGTCTCTGTTTAATCGCTACCTGCATTCAACCTGAGCGGTAGATGATGTCAACCCTGTTACGTGTTGCCATAAACGCATCTGCATGAAATGGCTGATGTAAATAAAAACTCACCCTTGCCTGAAATCAGATTACCGGTAATGGGTCGAGGATGTGATTGTTCGATATATAAAGAATCTTTCCTTTTTACCCTCTCGAAGCATGTAGTCATGCATGAGTCCACGGTCATTTTGGGCGCAGAGGTGAAGAATCCCGCGGGAAATACTTGCTGATGGCCCGGGGTAGCTGGCCGAGGGACACACGCTCGAAAGTCATCCGCTAGCCCTTCCGAACCTCTGGACCAGGGGCCTTGTTGAGCTGGAGGAGAACAAGAAAAGGTGGGCGAAACCAAAGAGAAATCATTACCGATAATAAATCGATGTCGTCTTTGACTTGTGTGTGTCGCGCCTAATATCAATGGTGAATCTTCACCGTTAGAAAATTGAGGCGCATAATCCGGTTGGTAGCTGCATGTGGCGCTATACCAACCTCGTGCCCATGGTGGGGAGCTGTGCACCCCCCACGTCTACCTCCCCCTCACCCATATTTAAATGAATCATTTGAATGTTCATAAATTTTGCGCACGTATGTTGATTAGATTAGGCTGGTGCCCGGCTAAGCATTAAGATTAACGTTTACTTTGTATACCGTGTCTAAGCAAAAACATAGTCAATACCTCTCGGCCTGTAGAATCGGACAAGGCCCTTTTTTTAGATAAAAAGGTAATCACCTCATCCAAGCATTATTACATTTTATATCAATGTAATCAAAATGGAAACGTGAAACACGGCTGAAATTATAAATTAGCCTAACGGGTCCATGATATCAATTGTATCTTCAGGAACAAAGTTTTATTAATGAAAGCCGTATTGGAAATAAAGTAACCACTGGAGACAATGTTGGTCCTACTCCTAGGTGAGAATTCGGCGATGGCGGTGTTGCAATGTTTACTGTAAGTTATTTATGTGAAACAGGCTGGTTAATAATGACTGTATATGAAACAACACAAGTGCTACATTTATGGTGAAAGCCATTCACTTTAAGAGACATGATACAAGGAACACACATGTACAATTCATCACCAGCTTAGACCATGCTCTTGAAAGTAGGCAGGGTCGAGGTTAAAATGCCCTGGTACTGCACGGATCCGTTCGTGTACATGGCTGATCCAGCGGCGTGAACGAGTACTCGACAAGCCAATAAAATGGGCAGGCTGGCCAGAATGTATCCCCCCCCAAAAAAAAAAACTGTCGTGTGGAGCGGATAGGGAAAAATCGGGTCGATGCTCTCACAATACTCACGGATGAGGCACTAAGCAGACTTGATTCGAGGCTAATGCCCTTCCGTAGATCGCGCAGGCGCGGCGCGCTCTCTCAGCGTTCGCCTCCGGGCACGGTGCGTCTAGACCACTATAACATGTATAAGTACTGGTTTCATCGATCGATCTGCGCTCAGAATTGATTGTGAAATTATTCTGGCGGTTTACAGAGGAAACGAGATGGTGTTCATGTCAAGGTGACCCCTGGTGAACGAATGCATTTCCACGCCGACTTAATGCTGTTCTTTTTCGAATTGTGTGTTATTTTGACTCGTAAATTGTGAAAGACGAACCCGGCAGCACACCATATTTCCAAATCCAAATTTAGAATAAAATATTAAAAATATGATTTAATTGTTTAATACCCTGCAAGGGTTTCTACAACTGCGTCTTAAATCTGAAATACAGAGAGACTTTGTACGAAACAACAAGTTTATTAACACAAAAAACAACGATACATGTACTTTGGTAAGTCTCGCGAACAACACACTCATGTCATAAAAAAAAGGAAATTTGGTTCGCATCTCACAAATTGGCGAGTCTTCGACAACCCAACACAAATGGCAGGTTCATCATTGATGTTGGTTCGACTTCTAAGCTTCTTAACATGCGATCACTCTGAAGAAAGCGCAGCAAGTTCTTTTTGAACAGGATTTTGCCATTCGACCTATTTCGCAATATTTTAAAGAATCCGAGGAGACACGTTTCGCCCATGTGCGTCCTTAGGCCAATCGGCCGTATTCACGGGGGACCCAATTTCAGTCAGATCCCTCAACGTAGTGTATTCATTTGAAAACGTTAAATTTAAAGAACCAGATTCTATTCTACGATTTCATTCCGACCCCCCCCCCAAAAAAATCACTGGTACCATCCCATTAAGGGCTTGAAATGTATACAATACGTTCAGGAATACCACTGAAATTGGATACCCCGCGCATTAATATGGTCTGTTCGCACGCACACAACACCCTATTGATCAAAGAGCATTTAATGCACGCGCATGGCCCGTCTCGTCTGTGTAAGATTGGACACAATGCATACATTACACTTCAACTTGTGAATTAAGTTACGAGACTCAGATAGGCATTTGCTGAACGTTTACTCGAAATATACCGTAGTCATAGAGCTAAAACTTTATCGGTTGAGTTATTAAGCACCTAGTATTAACATTTTTGTCAATTTTAACAGGTCACTTCAAATAAAAGCCTTAAACAAATGATAAACTTTTGGTCTTTTCTGCTTTTAACACTCCAAGATAAAAAATAATCCTTTTTATAATAAAAAAGAGAACTACAAAATGAGGAGAAGCATTTGCCACTCGATCTGATTATCCACTGCCATAAACATTAACGAGGCGTTTACAGCGAATTGTCAACATTTGATGTGTGGAATCAATATGCATGCATTGTCATACAATATAATGTGCCATGTTGCTAATTTAGGCTCGACTTCGATCATGAATTTATACGTGAGCGTTGTCGCTTGAACAACATTAAAGCTAGAAGTGAATTTGGGAACCAAAGAACCTTCCAATCCTGATCTTTTTCATCAAGGAGCAAACTGAAAGGGGGGATACCATCCACGATTCAAACCAAGGAACCCATATTGCCGGTTTTCCTTATCCTGCTCTACCCCACTCAAGCCAGCTTTTTGGCCCTCATTTTGTACCCACGACCCTATATAACAATGCCGCTGAAGCTGATACGAAACGGAGGCTCCTTCGGTCGGAACTGAACTTCGCTGGTTCACGAACGAGTAGGAAAATGCACGCGTTACGGTCACATCGGTGACCAACAAAACACTCCCGACCGACGCGGCTCTTTTCAACCGGTGAAGGGGTGCTTCTGCAGTTCTGCTTGAAGCGGATTATAATGTATAACTGTCAGGCTTCGTAAGCGCGTCGTTCTGGTTGTGGAAGCGTCGTCTATGCAAGTGAACAGTGGTGGGTCGTCAGGTCATGTTTGTACGGAATAACATTTAAACTTGATTACATTTACGTCAAGCCTTGGCAAAGTAACGGAGGGTGCTTAATGCAATTGCCTTATAATTCAATAGTTCTGAATCAATTTGGGCCCTTTTCGACCGTAAGCCTTGAAGTCAACTCTATTCTGTACTCTACTGAAATCTCTTCAGGGGTCCGATTTAATCTACGGTTTGCTTCAAGTCTCCCCGGGCCAAATTAACCAGAATTTTTTCCCTCTACCTATCTGATTTTGTTTCCTTCTTTGCAACAGCAGACCTAGTTTCTGTCTGTCACGGGGTGAAGATTCAGATCTTGACTTGCAGCGGGCATCAGCGTCACCTCGCGCGATCGAGCACCATGGGGCCGTTTTGGTCCGCTCCGCACCGGCCAGTGCCCCGACCGATTGGCCGGCTTTGAAGCACGTTCTGTCCCGTGCCAGATATCAGGATGAAAGAAGAAAAAGGAAAAAAAGGGAAAGAAATCAGTGGGAAACGATCGACATTCTCCATGATGACGGCTATAATAAACTCGGGTGATTTGGGAGAGTGTGACAGGCGACACTGGGGCTGTTTGCGCTGGCTCGTGACACGGTTACAAGATGAGTACGTGTGTGGTGACAAGACAAACAAGCGTAGGGGCCGGCAAGAGGACAGGAGGGCAGTGGAGCCGATCGGGCCGCGCGCAGCGATGCGTTAAGGCCCCGAGCAAGATACCTTTTACTTTTGCATACTCTGAGCACTCAACGTGTGCCGAATAGCTAATGAGATGTGTAAAATATAGGGTTTGTAGTGTCGTATGACTGACGGATAATATTACGATTAATGTGTACTTTTTTTCAATATATGACCGGCACATGGGCATGGGGTCAACACAAACAAATTACACAAAAAACAAAAGACAAAAACACGGATATGTGCACGACCTGATCAGAGAAAACCTGATGATAATTCAGTTAATAATTAACATAAGAAAAGGTCAATTCCACGTTAATGACGTGTATAATTAATCACCATGTGTTACGCATGTTGTTGATTTGCAAATAATCCACTACCAATCATATCAAAACTTTAAACAAAATGACATAAATTGAGTTAACTGGGGATAAAGGTCACATTTGGTATAATCTATCTGAAGGAACACATTGATACATGTGCATTTATAAATATCACTTCGTCTTCAGATGAACGATGTTTTATGTAAATTAGTCATCATAGACAAGTAATTTATGTTTCCTCCCCCTACGACGTCAGACAGTCTTTATTGAATATTTTTTTTATGTCTTTAACTTGAAAGTGACGCGTAATCAGATTGGATCCACTTCTCAATATGATTTATAAATGGAAAATTTATATAATGTGACAGATGTCAGAGTGTAGGCATCTTATCAAATTTTGGATGTCTGGAATCCACACTAGGTTCGGAAGGGCCTGTCAAACTGTGGACCTAGCAGATGCCCTTTTTAGTAACGTGGGGAAGAAATTACAGCGTCAGACGTCAAGAAAATGACTTTAATTGACGGCAAGCTATTTTGAGTAAAGAAAATGGGAGTTATTGTCCATTTCCCAATACTGAATGTTCATTTTTTTATCGCCTTATTAACTCTCACTGGCGCTTTGAAAATCTTCACAACTTGTTCAAAATTTCTTTTTTTTTAATTGTAACGCTTACCCCTGACGCTAATGTTAACTTCATAAACTTATTTTGTGTGAGTTGTCAACCGTGGCAAAACATTTTATCAGTAGGTCTGATGCGCATACGTTAGCATCTATCTTCGATTCTTGGCCCTGTGGAACGAGGCTAAACAGCAACCGGCCAATTCGTGGTTGACTGGTATTATACCAAGAAATTGTCGTTGTATATTTTTTCATGCACACGCTTCATTATGGCAAACGTGGACTTGTTTATTTATTTACTTGTTCATTTATGCGTGCCTTCAATAATTCATATTTTCTTAAACCAAACCTCCTTAGAAGCCATCTGGCAATAAGTCCATTCCATTCCGGACCAGAACATTTATTCCCAGGTATACGAGTAATT